TATTTCGTGCACTTAAATTGGATAAGACGCGCTACCAATCCCTGTTGACTCGACGGTCGTCTAGAGCGGCGGTCTAGATACCCGAAGATGAGAGTTCAAATCCCGCTCGAGCCAACGAATTTTTCGTTGCTCGATTGCAGTGTCAGATTAATATGAAACTAGTTTTTCGTATCTCTGAGGATGGTTCTGAAATAGAATTGAAACACTGCGCGTCCTCTAAGACAAGCGTTAAGTCGTCACGAAAATATTTCGTGCACTTAAATTGGATAAGACTAGCTACCAATCCCTGTTGACTCGATAGTTCAATAGGTAGAGCGGCGGTCTAGATACCCGAAGATGCGAGTTCAAATCCCGCTCGAGCCATGCAACGAATTTTTCGTTGCTCGATTGCAGTGTCAGATTAATATGAAACTAGTTTTTCGGATATATCTTAAATGCACAAGTTTTAGCCCTAATGATTACAAAATTATTTCATATTATAATAACCCATGGTATTGTGCATCTTGCTTAACTGGGATATTTCCATTTAATCATTACCATGACAATAATGATTTTCTTTATGCAATTGATTATTCCCTCCAATGTCGTCTTGATCTTAATAACCTTAATAATATGAGCTTCAATCCTTTTATCGACGATCTTGACACATGTTTGTTGCTCAACAAACCTGACTTAGACCTAAACTCCACCATTTTTGCATCTAATTCTGAAACACTTTCTAAATGTATATACTATACAACAGTGGAATTTAATGCTAATTTAACAAAACCCCATAACTACTTCTCGACAATCCATATTAATATAAGAAGCCTTAAGAAAAATTTTAATGATTTCATGGTTTTCATGTCCTCTCTTGATTGTTCTATATCTGTTATTGGACTATCAGAGACATGGCTTGACAAATTATCTTATGACTTATATCCTATACCAAACTATAACTTTATATCTATAAACATAGAAATGTTAAGCATGGAGGTGGTGTTGGTCTATATATCAACTCCTCTTTTGACTAATTCAAACTTCGATCTGACCTTGAATTCTCTATATATATGAATCTATATTTGCTGAATTAGCTCAACCTCATAGCAAAAACGTTGTAGTAGGATGTATATATAAACCACCTGATGCCGATACTGAACCAATTCAATGAAGATATCAACCAGATTTTCAATAAAATAAGTTTTGAAAATAAATTATGTTACATAATGGGTGACTTTAATATTAATTTACTTTAATAATTCTAGCTCTCACAAGCCCACTAATGATTTTGTTGACATTCTTCTCCTTAACAGCTGTTACCCTACCATATCTAAACCTACTAGAATAACTTATCACTCATCCACTTTGATCGATAACATTATCACGAATAACTTAGACCATGATTCATATGATAAGTGGCATTATTTATACCGACCTTTCAGATCATTTACCCATATTCCTATTTAGTGATCTAAATATAATACCTAAACCTGAGCCAAAAACGTACACAACAAGACAAGTGACATCCCACAGTCTTGAACAATTTCAACGTAAACTGCAAAATGTCAACTGGGATGTTATTAATAATGAAACAATGACTACTAACCAACTATATACATCATTTATGAATATACTTCAACCTATTTATAATGATTGTTTCCCAGTGAGAACCTTTACCACACAAACTAGAAAAAATACTAAGCCTTGGTTTACTAATGGCTTATATAATTCCTCCATCAAAAAAGATCGCCTATATAAAAAATACCTTCAAAATCCTGACATTTCCACTAATTAGACAACCTATACGAATTATCGTAGACTGCGAGCGGTCCCTCCTTTCCGCGGGTTTAGATTTCCGGGCACGAGAAAGGAAAGGAGGGACTGCAGACAACACAGTCAAGAAATGAAACCGCGTTGCCCACACAACGCAAATTCCCATTGGTCGAAATCGATACGCCTGTCAATCAAATCTGATATGTAGTAATTATGCTATGAATAATTTCCAGAGTGAATGTTGATTTTATACAGGGTGTGTCAAAATAAAAGTAATCGAACGTCAGCGCGCTATTGTGTCTGAATTACTGCGTATGAACGAGATTTTTTTATCTTTGGAAAGATCAGGCTTTTAGCTGTTGAATGATATGTTCTTCACGCCAAATGGATAAAAATTAAGCAAGTCTCGTACTTGCTTATTTTTTCTCCATTTGGCATGAAAACATGTCATTCAACAGCTAAAAGCCTCATCTTTTCGAATATGAAAAAAAATGTTCATACGCCGAGTAATTCAGATATAATAGCGCGCTGAAGTTCGATTACCTTTTTTTATACTGGTCTATTATTAGATCTGTTATTGGTAGTAGACAAAAGAATAAGATACCTTCAACTATGAAAAATGGCAGTGGAACTTTCAGTAATCCACATTCAATTGCTAATAAATTTAACGATTTCTTTATAAATGTTGGGACCTCTCTTTCAAATTAATAATTTTACAGACATATCAGACAATAATCATAGGGATTATCTATTGGGCTCGTTTAATGAGTCAATCTTTCTCACCCCTACTTCCCCTTCTGAAATTATAACTATCACTAATTCGTTGAAAAATAGTCCAGTGAAGGGGTAGACGGTATTAGAACGCCTATTATTAAAACAAGTATTAACGTACTTACAGTACCATTGTGTTAAATATTCAACTCTTCAATTGCCAAAGGTAGTGTACCCAACCAGCCTTGTTTCTCAAAAATACTTGAAAAGGTGATGTATAAGAGATCAAGGATTTCCTATATAAGTTTCAAATTATAAACCACCACCAATATGGCTTTAGAAAAAATCATTCTACATTCATGGCTATACTTGAACTGGTCAATGAAATTTATCATGGTTTTGCGGAAAATAATATACTAACTGTTGGCGTGTTTCTAGGTCTTAAAAAGGCTTTTGATACTGTCAACCATGACATCCTAATTGGCAAAATGTCTTTTTATGGTTTTCGTTGTAATGCGCTTTCATGGATTAATAGTTACCTTAGTGAAAGATCTCAATATGTTGAAATTAACAATGTTCAATCTTCACCTAAAACTATTAAATGCGGAGTTCCCCAAGGTTTGGTTCTTGGACCATTACTCTTTCTTGTGTTTATAAATGATATATTTAATACATCCAACTGCCTATCTTTTATACTATTCGCAGTGACACAAATATATTTTATAGTGACAATAATATAAATTCCCTTATTAACACACTCAACCATGAACTTATTAAAGTTGCTTCTTGGCTTAGGACCAATAAACTTACATTGCATCCAGATAAAACCAAGTTTATACTCTTTCATCCTAGCAGGAAAAAACATCGACCCGCTGGATGAATTAATACTCATGTAATAGAAAGGGTTAGCCAAACTATATTTTTGGGAATTACTATCCAGGAAAATTTGTCCTGGATCCCACATATACAATCAATCACTACAAAAATTTCCAAAAACATTGGAATAATTCCAAAATCTCGTCATTCCCTTGATAGATCAACGCTCTCTGTATTATACAATTCTTTAATTTTGCCTTATTTACGGTACTGCACTATTATCTGGGGATCATCTTACACAACACATCTTCATCCTTTACTTCGATGTCAAAAAAAGTCATGAGAATTATCACGCATTCTCCTCATCTCACTCCTTCCAAACCACTTTTTAAGGAATTAAATATCCTCACTGTCTTTCAGATTTATGAATTTCAACTTTCGTGTTTTATTTTTAGACATATTAACAATCTCCTTCCTTCACCCATTTCTTGCTTATTCGAGTTTAACTATAACATCCATGATCATTTTACAAGGCATAGACAGGACTTGCATATCACTTCCCATAAATATTCTTTTTCCATTCGTACGCAAGGACCGAAAAATTGGAATTCTATCCCTCTTTTAATTCGGCAATCATTGACAACTCAGAATTTTAGAAATATTCTAAAAAACTACTATTTAACCTTTCAGAATGGTTGACATATGTGCATGCGGAATGGCTCTGAGGTAAAAAGGAGGACTGAAATTTGGCTGTATATATCGTTTCTTTCCATAAAGCATTTACATTTACTATACTAATTTAAATGCTTTTTCCATTTTTTTCTATTACTCAGTTGGAATCATTCATATTTAATTTTTTGTGTTGACCACCAGCTATACTTTCAAATCTTTTTGCCAAATCAGCCTATGACTTCGGCTTTACCAAAATCATGTAACAATTTGTGTGAAATATATTATTATATTATATTATATGATATTATATTATATTATATTATATTATATTATATTATATTATATTATATTATATTATATTATATTATTAATAAAGTTCCATACAGTTATATTAAAGCGGTCAGTGGACGTCCACTCTCCACCCGTGGACGTCCACGTTATTGGAGCGTCCCCTCTCCGTATGACAATGCTGAATTACGTTTAAAAGTTGGGGGAGGGCCAGGGGGGGGGCTAATACAGCTAGTTAGTTGAATACAGTTCCCTAAAATTTCGATCTATTTTATTAACAGTTTTGTCCAGGATTGTAGCTTTGCGCCTATAAACCATAGCTTAAGCACCCAGACCCTAATCCTAACCTTAATTTAATCCTAACCCCAAACTATATAGGCCTAGTTTAGATCTTTAGATCTTGCTCAAACTAGTGTCCAGTCGCTTAATGTGAAATTACAGACGCGCCATTGTAAGGCTCAGTGTAAGATTCGCTATGCTGAACTGGTTTTGTAAATTTGTAATACCTTCTTTAAATAAAGTTCATTATTATTATTATTATTATTGTTATTATATGACCAAAGCCCACGCTTCGAGATTTCCCAAGCATAAATTTCAATTATAATGAGGCAGAATAACTAAAAAATACATTTTGCTAAACGTAAAATCATTACAATTGTATTAAAAAGTGTTCAATAGTGAACACTTATCTGGATTCTGGTATATATAAAGACATATAAGGGAGATATTGAGTCTAAGACGTCCCTTCGCCATCTCCACATCTTTGCGCACATTTTGCCCTTCCTAAATCGCCATAAATAAACATGAATTTGCTATCAAAATGCGCCAAATTTCACGAAGACGTCAAATCTGGCGGTAACTGGAGTCAAAGACCTGCGCATAAGGTCCTAGTGCCAGTTTTCTTCAACAGACACTGCGCGCGAGGCGAATTTCCTATATAAATCATAACAAATAGCGCATAATCAAACGAAAAGTGCCCTTCGAGTTAAGTATTATTTTCCCATAAAAGTACATTCAAAAAACGTCTAAAGGCTTATTCTTTCCTATACCGTAGGTAACTGAACACAGATATAATCGTAGAGCAAACGTAAGCGAAAAAACATCAAATTTGGGGGTGATTTGTATAGGCATAAGTTGGAAATATGACACGCGCAATACGATATGACTTTTTGTTAACGCAAAGTTTGATATGAACTGTTCACTAAAATAAACATGACCTCTTTCAGAATATTTATAAGGAAATTCAACCAACATAGATAAATTATATTATTGTATTCATTCAGAAGTATAATAATTTATGATTAACTGAGCTAGTGTTAACGCGATACTTGCCTTGGTTTTTATCCGTAATTTGCTTGTGACATTTTCCCGCATTAACGTATTTCCACATAGCTTTCATTTCGTGATTAAATTCATCTTTCAGATCACTGATTTCATTTTTGACTTCAAGCAGAAGATCTTTTAATTCTTTAATGTTAGGTTTCAAATCACATTGCCCTGCGTTGTTTGAGCTTCTCTTTGTCAAGAAAACTTCCTTGTTATCGAATGAAGACAATGAAAGACATTTGACACTAAAGAAAAAGTTAAAAATATGAGAAAAATTTGCACGATTGCAGCCCTTTTTCAGTTCACGTGGTACGATTGAATCCGGGCGAATTAATGCGAACACACACCCGCCGAACGGTACGAATTTCCCGTGTGCATGCATGAACGAATAGGACCTGGACGAATTTGCGTACGCGCTCGATCCAAATTAGTCCAGTCTCGAGAGAACGTTTACATGTTTACCTGAGACATTCACGAACAAGGCAAATTCAAACAAAATCTTAGAAATTCATGGTGAAAATTTTCAAAACGCATTGTGTGACACCCAATCAAGACAAATATCAAAGGCACCTTCACAAATATAGAAATACATGTATTCACGAACAACTCCGAACGAAGTCAAGAGCTTTATACGATTTCGTTTCCATAATAGTTTTGTCTCGTAGCTGTTGTTATCTACTGTACATCAAACCCTGTTGAAAAATTGGTCATACAGATCTGCATCCATGCATGCAGTTAGCTGGACGGAAGCTATATAGGGGGCGAATTCGGATCTGTATCAACCAACACATTGAATGTTGATAGTGTCGATATACGTACCTTGAATCTAAATAGAAAATTCCAAAGAAAACGATCAATGCAAAGTTTGCTGTGTTCATCTTGATGGTCAGTTTAGAACTGCCCTCGATTCTGTCTTGTCAGTAGATAAAAACAATTTTACCGGAAGTTTCGAGTCCGTTATGCTTGCTGCATCTTCGCTATAAGTGCATGATTACATCATATAGTGGTATTTCTTTATCTTTCGATATATACAGGGGATCTATTCCGCAAACTGTCGTGTATTTTTTCTCCTTCACCGTTAACCGCCATTTTTCTTATTCATGCAGTAAACGTTTCGGCCAGGGTATCTGATAAAATGATATCTTGCGAATTTCAATACTGCATGCTTGTATAACTAACAGCAGACATCCTGTCACCCTTTTTCTGAACAATTAAAGAAAATTAAAAACAAAATGCTTAGCCGTTTATTATAAAAAAAATGCTTAAGCCTTTCATTACATTATGTAAGCATACAGTCTGGAGCTATAGGAAATCGTGCATGTATATACATAATCATGCAGTTCTAAAGATTAGGATTTTAGGCATCTCACTCTGATGTTTATGACTGATTGTTGAAGGGATCCCTTCGACAATCAGTACTAAACTCTTCTCCCTAAAGGTCCAGTAAGGAGTATCCTTCATTGATCCATGCAGTGTTACCAGCTACAGGAGAAAACCTTAATTAAACCCACTTTATACACCAAGACTCGAGAGCGCCTGCTTGCTGCACACTCATAAATCTGGTATTTCCAAGCACCCATGTATTTTTCTGTTTATTATATATAAACAAAATTCAGTGAAAAACAATAAAACGTCTGTGGCAATGCGTTTTACAACAAATGATATTCAGTTTCACACGTAAAAATATCGTATTTTTTACGTGTGTTTAAAACGTGTGTTTTATTATATAAACATAAGTGTTATATAGAGTTTTTGGCCACTGAGAAAAGTCGTATTTAAACACACGAACTATATAGGGTTCCAGGTACTGGTCGGTTGAAATTACCTTACACCCCCCCCCCCTGGAGAATTCCCTGAGGACGGCCCTGCAACCCTATATAGTCCTTGCAGTGTCTTTTTCAATTAGAAACTTCACACTATCCTTGGATCCCTAGTTATTGTTTACAGAATGCCTTCACAACTTACAGTATTTGACACAGATTATATTTTTGAGTATTGTGCCCCAATAGCAATGCACCCTACTTTATTATTTTAATGTCTCATACCAGTCCATTTTGCTTGTCAAGGGGAGAGTGCTGCCGCTCTCAAATTGTTAGGTTTGTATTGCAGGTAGGTGGCTCAGTTTTGAAGTTTTTGTTAGTATGATGACCCCATGCCAGGTCAGGATTTTATAGAACCAGACAGTACTAAAATGCGGTGTCCTACAAATAAAATTTCCGGCGTATCCACCCACAAGTAAAGTTATATTTAGTACGGCTACATTCTTCTGTCGGCCGCCAGTTGGTCCGTACGCTAGGATTTAACTGCGCTTTAAAACGTTCAACATAAAAATACTATCAAAATGAAGAGAGAAGTGAGACGAATCCACTGATACCAAAGTTATCAAGCACTGCATTTTTATAATTTATAGTTTAATGGGGGTCTATTGTAGGGGGTTGGTCACTCCGCAAACCGTTCTATTTTTGTCTCCTTCACCGTTAATCGCCCGTATTTTCTTCGTGAAAACCGTAACCGTGATATTCTTTATACAGTAAAGTTTATCGGCCAGAAACATCCGCAACGGTCGACAAGCGGACAAAGATGGAAGATTTTCGTTGAGAAACATTTAACTGCATGATATATATTCTGGAATCTTGTTGGGTGCCTCGCAAGTGGCAGACCCAAACAGAACACAATAATATTTCTCTGAAGAATTTCAATACTGCACGTAGCTATAACTAATTATTGCAAGCTTGTGGGGGATACAGACATTCTGTCTGTAGGAATTGAAAGGTTTCGCCGCCCTTTCTCTGAAAAAGAAAATTAAAAACAAAATATTTGAGCCATTATTGCAAGCTTGTGGGGGAGTACAGACATTTTGTCTGTAGGAATTGAAAGGTTTTACCGCCCTTTCTCTGAACAAAGAAAATTAAAAACAAAATACTTCAGCTATTTATTATAAAAAAAATACTTAAGCCTTTTACAACGTAAGTACAGAAGCTATAGGAAACTTTAGCCTGTATATATTGCCAGTTCTAAACTCTTCTCCCTATAAATGTCCAGTAAGGACTATCTTTCATTGGTCGAGTGTGTTACCAGCTACACGAGGAAGCTTTAACTAAACCAACTTTATAAACCAAGTGCTCATGCTTGCTGCATAACTCTCTGCATAATGTTGGTGAAAAGAATGAACAATATGCAGCAAATTAAAAAAGGTTGTCCTTTGAAAAACCTTAATTAAACTCTAAACCTTAAACTTTAAACTCTAAGCGCAAGTGAGCGCACAAGTTTCAAGTTTCGCAAAGCTTTAATGAGAGCACAAGTTTCAAGCTTAGTAGTTGAATATTGCAGCTATTTGTGAATAAATTGTTCTCGTAAGGAGATATTTACCATGTCTCTAAGAAATGGGCTCCATACTGCTTTCTAAACTGATTAAGCATAACTGTTCCCGTTATGCTTTGCACGCTTAGAGTTTAAGGTTTAAAGTGCCTATATCACTTGTGATCATGGGAACTTTATGGATTTGAAAAGAGCGTAAAAAGTTAGTTAATAAGTTCAAAAACCTTTTTTGATTTAGTGCATTAGTTTTGAGGATATAGTCCTTTAAACAACGGACTGTTCCTGAGTCCCAGCCTCCTGGGGTCTAAACACGGCTATTGAATTTGTCCTTTTTCGAAACTGTCCATTGTGCATAGGAGCGTGGGACTCAGGAACTGTAGGTAGTTTAGAGGCCTGTATCTTCGAAATTATTGCACTAAATCAAAAAAAGCTTTTGAACTTATTAACTAACTTTTTACGCTCTTTTCAAATCCATAAAGGTCCCTCAAGTGATATAGCCTATACGCACTTTAAGGTTTAGAATAAGGTTTTTTCGAAGGAAAACCTTTTTTGAATTAGCTGTACATGGTTTGAAATATTTCATCATTTTTAACCTTTGTAATTTATAATTTTAATTTATAATTTATTACACTTTGCCTCAACATGCAGGCTTGGAAACCGCAACAGCTACGGCCATTTACTGCGGATCCATTATAATACATCAAGTTTAATATAAACTAACAATATTAACGATTACAATTACCAACAAAACATACAAACATATACAGACATTAACAACATTAACGCTACGTTTACACACCGCGATCCACCGCGTACGATTCACCCTCTGGCGGGCTCTGGCGTATGTCATATGATAAACACGCGTAAGCTGGCTACATTTGAAATTGAAATTGAAATTTATTCTTTGACGAGACTATTTAACAAATATAAAACATTTTCCGTGTTGATATACAGTTATATCAACACGAGTGGAATTGGGAAAACGAGAAATTGTGTGGAAACACGACGCCCGAAGGGCGGAGTGTTTTCATACAATTTCGAGTTTTCCCAACTTCCACGAGTGTTGATATAACTATATATCAATACGGAAAAAATGTTTTATATTTTTTTTATAATATAGCAATGTCAAAAGCCTGAAGGATAAGAAAAATTTCCGTGTTTACAAACGGCGGAAAATTTCCCGTGTTGACATTGAGTTTATCAACACGGCTCTTAGCCAATCAGCGTTCAGAATTTACAAATGCTATATTATAAACTACCTTATACTAGTATATACCAGACTATACTAATATTTTACTCCCTTGCATAATGCCATATATTAAATTAGTTTAATTTACATATCTCGAGGACGAAAAAAGAGAAGCTAGAAAAGTTGTCCAGTGAAGTTAGAGTGAACTTATTTTACAGTTTTACATGCTCTTTCTGCCTCAAACGCTGATTTGAATTTCGTTGCCATTGCAGTAAACTCTCCTGTTTTCATGGCCATGCCCATGGGCAAATATCACAGAAGACGTGACTTTGTATATAGAGGCAATTACGCCAACATTGAGGCAATTACATTGAGCCAATTACGCTAAAGCTAAATAAAGATTTTTAAAAGAGTTTCGAAATATTTTTATTTGCCATAATTGAGAGATAGAAAGATAGTCACGTTTTCAAGCATTTTGTGGGGATTTTTTTCAATAATTAATGTATTGTGTTTTTAAAAGATATTTCGTTATCTCGATACCATTGTCATATAAAGCACATTAATAAGATCCTTGATCTTGTAGGCTTGCAGAGTAAATCCATTTACCGAGTCAAATCCAAGTCCGAGTCAGTCCCGAGCCCGAGTCAAACGCCCGAGTCGCGTAAAAAAGAGACGAAAGTGAAGAAAATTCACATTCGAATAGGAGTACGTAGGTTTAGGGTTAGGGTACTAATATAAGTCATTTTACCGACAAAGACAGTTAATCAGTGACTCGGTCATTTGACTCGGACTCGGATTTGACTCGGTTAACCGACAAACTCTAGGCTTGCATGCTAAAAATAAATATAATTGAGTTTATTTTATGGACACGTTCAATTCTTTGTCTCGGCTTTGGCGAAGCTTTCGATCCAAGATCGTTGGTGCTATAATAATTTAATACATTGGTGAAGATCCATGCAGGCTTAATATCAAAAGCTATAATATATATGGTAATACAAAATAAACGTGATATTTCCACAAATACCAAACAAATATATTTCCGGCATGCAATCATATAAGCCTTTCGCTGCGAAATTGAAAATTATACACTGAGTGTATATTAAATGAAGCAATCTAGTTTAGTGTCTTCTTACACTGCACCTCGGCGAAGAACAGGTTAATCACTGACTAATGCAGATGGAATTCCAAAACAAAATGATATCACGAATGTTGGCAACGCGGAAGAATTATAAAGTATATCAGTTTGCAAGAATATCAGTGTCAAGGAGTAAGGACAAAGAGATATACTATTGCTCGAGTCAGGACTCGAGCCAGGACTCGAGTCAGGACTCGATCAAAAAAAAGGCGAAAATACGGGGAATTGCCATTACCCAATGGTTTTGTTTCATAAGACACGTTACGCAGGCTAGCTAAATGTTCTACTACTAGCAAATTAAATACACCCTTTCAATAATTACGCTAATCACCTTGTGTAATTTGCCAATGAGAGCGAGGTTCCAAGACCAAAAAGTACATGTGTAATTATCGAAAGGGTGTATTTGGTAATACAGTTAGCCAGCGTGGCCGGCTCTTCTATAATACAGTTTGGTGATATTGGCATCTATTACAGGAAAATAAGGCAGGGAGAATTATCCTATACTCTTTGACGAATGCTAAGCGGCAACAAGTATCTGTTTTGTAAAGAGTAAAGAGCGAGAGACTGCTGGTGATGGGCAATACCAACTGTTTTAGTTCGATAAAATACTGGCCGGATATTTCCCTTTTTTGCCAATTTTGAATATCGATATTTGTGCAATATATCAAAGACAAACAACAACAATGGTATTGACTATTGTTTCATTCACTGTCTTCCGACGCTAATAACCGTTACTGGTTACTGTCGTTCCAATTGAAGTGTTGCTGAAATATTGATTCAATACATTACCTCGGGCTGACCAATTCATTTCATCAAGTTCCTCGAGATATTCATACACTTCCTAGTAAAATTGTAAACTTCCTGTTGAATAGTTTGAATGCACCAATCACCTTTGTTGTTTGTGCAACTAACCAATCATTAATAGAAAGGAAGTGACCAGAAATGATCAAATACTTGGAATTGGCTCTTTCACAGGAAGTGTATGAATATTTCGAGGAACTTGATCAAATGAATTGGTCAGCCCGAGGTAATGTATTGAATCAATATTTGAGCAACACTTCAATTGGAACGACAGTAATAGCCAAAGTCAGATGAGATTGACAGCTCTGTATGTACAAATATACCAAATATCAACTTTCGTTATTTAGTTCTTTTATCGACTCTGGCGGAAAAAGGCGGGAAATTGATTTGGTAAACAAGTTCTCTCACTTCCCATTTGCCAAACATTCCTTAGGTTATCAATAAACAATTCCTCAGATTCAGTTAAATTTCCTTAAACATTTCGCATTGTTGGTGAACGAATAGTCTAAATTTATGGAAAGTTCCTTAAAAGTGAGAACGCTGTTGGTAAATTTCCATCCATCAAAATCACCTGACGTCATTTTTGGCTCGAGTCCTGAATCGAGTCCTGGCTTGAGTCCTAGCTCGAGTCCTGGCTCGAGTCCTGGCTCGAGTCCTGATTCGATATTTGGGTACCCTCTCTAGTGACTATAGTATAAATAAATTGAGTCCAGTTTAAATTTCGTCTGGTATCAGAGGTCTGGTATATAGTTACAATGGAACATTATGGACCTCTGTGAGAACATGCAGTCTACAATAAATAAAGCTATCCCGAATAACTAAACTTAGATTCGATTTCGTTGAATTTAGCCTAGTAGTATTCATAAAAATGTTTAATAAGACCAAGCATTGTCGATTTTGATACTATACAGTACATGTAAAGATATGGCTATCTTCAACATTTATTCCGTACCTTATAAATTAAACAGAAAACATTGTTTTCAGCATATAAGCTTTAAAATTATATACAATATAACATACTCGTACAAATTCTGCAAGATTTCACCTCCAAAATCTCGTCCAAAATGCTTGAAATCGTATTTCAGGGACTCTGGATTTCAAAGGGTGCTTCCCAAGGGTGCATGCCCCCAATCAAGGGAGCATGCCCCACCACCCTACACGGTCTCACGCCTTCGGCGTTCGCTTCGCCCCCCCCCCCCAAAAAAAAAAGGTCTGGCTACGCCACTGTTTATTAGTCAAAATTACTGAGTAGTTGTAGCAGCTCAGTTTCAAATGGACTGAAGTGTCGGGTTACAACAGGTTACTAAATATCTTGTTACAATACAGTATAATACATAAAACTAATGTGGTGTTCATTTTGTGATGGTTGTGTTATACTTTTCAAGGAAACGTCAGGCAGTTTTGGATTTTGAAAAAGTGAGAAAAACAGAAGGAAAACATGAACGGTAATGTGGAAATCATGACTGGTAACGCGCTAAGGCTGGGACGTGTTAAGGCTGAAATTTTTTATCAACTAATTGGTTTAGCTGCTTTCCGTCCAATCCTCCTTGGGCTGGTTGTTCAAAAGCCGGTTAGCTTCCAATTCCTGGGTGTAATTTTAATCGCAATTTGTGTATGGGAAGCCGAGTCTAGTGTAATCTGCGATATGAATGAATGTACTAGACATGGACGTTGCGAGGACTTGTTGTTTGGGGAGGGGTCAAA